TTTTTTTTTTTTTTTTTTTTTTTTTTTTTTTTATAATTTTCATCCCTACAATGAAAACCTCCTTACGGTTGGCTGTTTGATGAAAGTTTTATATATATATATATATAAAGGTACAGCACATATGTTAGTATATACGTGGATGTGTAAAGTCCCAGTTGCTAAATTCGTTAAGCAATGTCGGGTATATATATATATATATATATATATATATATATAAATCAATGTAAGTACGTGCCTAACGCTGTTTATGAAAGTAAATAAAGGGATTTTAGTTCGATGAAGCACCATTATGTTTTGTTTGCCACCCTTTGAGTTCAGCTACATTATGTAGATGCTCCGCAGTAGGCCTCCTGCGACGAAATAGTTTTTTAATTCACATCTTTTTTTTTTTTTTAATTTTTTTTTTTTTTTTTTTTTTTTTTTTTTTTTTTTTTTTTTTTTTTTGTTAAGGTTTTGCTTTGCACCGCAACGTTATTTTTTCAGGCCTTACCAGCGCAACTAACAGAAGTTTTATATGCGTATTTATGTGTTTTTAAAAAATGTTTTCTGTTTTATCGCTTCTCTCTTCCTTTTGGATAAAAATCCAATCTTGCGAGATCACTGACGTGTATGTGTCTCAATAAATTAATGGCAAATGTGTTACTTAAACAGCTGCTGTATCACATTAGTGGACTTGAGATTTAAAAAAAAAAAAAAAAAAACAAGAAAAAAAAATAAATAAATGAAATTTTTATGCCAACATCACACCTAAACTTTTTCAAGTCAATCTGTTCTTAGCTCCCACTGTAATTTTGACCTGTAAAAATTAATTGAACGGAGCAATGGTTATCATTATTATTATTATTGTTATTGTTATTATTACAATTACCGATAATATTTGCATAGAGAATTTAAAAAACAAGAAAAGAAAAAAAAAAAAAAACGCGAAAAATTTTATATTACCCCCAATTTTCCAAAAAAAAAAAAAAAAAAAAAAAAACACGAAAAAAAAAGAGAGAAAAAGAAAAAGTTTTATATTCTTTATGGAGATTATTGTTATTGATGCGAACGAAAGAATGACAAACTCATTAAAAACCATTTGTAACTATAGAAATATCAAGAGATGATTTTTACTTTTATATCTCTTAACTTGTCATTTGCTACGTCACTGTTTCTTGCAGTCAATGCACGCAGGCGTTCATTATTCATTTTGACAATATTATTGATAATGATGCAATCCATAGCCTTCATCGTGTTCTTACATTCTTTTATTCTTACTTTAAACAAATACACACACACACACACAGGCATTAACTATTGTATTTGCCTCTATATACATATTTCCACTTATATTATAGTGGAGAAAGGCAGACTAAATCCGTCCATTGGAATACGTTTAAAAAAAAAAAAAAAAAATAAAAATAAAAATAAAAAGCTCTTGTTGCTTCCAATTTGTGACCACTATCTGGATTATAGAGATTTCAAAAAATTAATTCGAATAATTTCCCACCGATATATATGTATATCGGTAAAAAAGACATACTAAGAGCCATATAGAGTCCCTATCTTATATTGTTACACAAATACTAAGCATTTGCTTAGTTCTGTAAAAGAACTGCAAGTTAGTCTGATGCCAGCTCTTGTACTTGAAATGTGTGTCATCCTGGGCTATGAGTAAAATTATCGGTCTTTATATTTAATCGACTTTTCTAAGGAAAATTAGTGCAAAATTTTAAGAAAAATTTAGAAAGGGAATGATATTCCGTATTACAAAGAGGAATATGTAAGTAGGAGAACGCATTCAAGAAAAGCCGTGACAACTTGTCCCGCTTGTTGATCGGATCGGTCATGACAATTATTATTAAAACTTGTCATTTAAGCTTGAGAAAGATGAACTATGTATGAATGGCTTCGTTCATCAGGCAGCTCTCTCTCTCTCTCTCTCTCTCTCTCTCTTTTCTTCTTTCGTGCATTTCGTAATAATCCTCATCATCGCAATGCGTCATTCAAACCGACTAATGTCAATGGCAAAGTGTTGCGAGTGGATTTCTTGCTTTTTTTTTTTTCGAAAACTTTAAATATAACTTCGTGTGGAAAGAATATTCATTCCAGCAGCTTATCTATTAGGGAATACTAAAACTATTGCTAAGACTTTGGTGAGATATACATTCATGAGGTTATATTATATCATGGAATTCGCAATCTTATATATGGATTGACCTTTGGGACTATCAAATAATGCGGACTGAGCTTTTACTAAGCAATATTTTTCGAGATCATTTAATCGTAAATTTGGTCAATCTTGTGAACTAATTTAGTCTCCTAGTCGTCGCTTTAGTAGCTAATAATTACTTTTACTACTATAGTCTTTATTTATCGATTAGCCTTGATTATGTCTTCAATTTATATTGCGATTAAGAAGAGCGAAGATAGAACGGATTTTGAATATTTAAATGTCACAGTTTAGATTAATACCTAGCATATATCGCAAGTTATTGATGGATCCACATATGCAGATCTCACAGTTTAGATTAGCATGTCGTAAGTTGTTGCCGGAATAACATATGAAGGTCTGACAGGTTAGGTTCACATTTAGCATATATCGCAAATTGTGGATGGAAGTAATTTCAATGTTATCAGTTTCAGTGCAACCTATCAAGCCTATCGGCATTCTAAATTTAGTGACAACAATGTTTTTTTTTTTTTCTTTAATAATTGATATATTCATCCGACTGCTGTCCAATTTCGCTAAAAATCATCTTCATAAAGGTTATAATTTAAAGGGAATAACTTGAGTACATTAGTAATCAGTTTGGAAATGGCTAAGTAAAACAGCTAAATAAAACAGTCCGTTAATTGCGTAGCATATGGTCCGAAGACGGTATACGATACTTGAATATATTCATGGGAAGTTATTTTTATAGTTGACTGACGCACTTATTGCAATCTGTAAAAGAATTTACTGAGAATTTACTCAAACTCTTCCGAATATCTCGAGCATTTCTATTTAAATACTAATCATTTTCGCGTTAAGGGCTAAGAAATATTAAAAATATATTAAGGAGACATGAATGTGTTAAGTGAAGAAAGTTATGGGCAATTACTTAAGGAACTTAAAGCGAATTTTAACTTTATGTCTAACGTACATACACTAAGACTCGGTTATGATTAACAAAGTTTACTATAGTATTACTATATATAGTATTTGTTTTTTTTTTTTTTTCGTAATATTTGAAGGAATGTTTTTAAATTTAAAAAAATTCTTGCAAAGTGTTCTTCGTTTTCAGTTTGATGTCATCGTATTTTCAAATAGTCTGTCTAAACGTTCAAGATTCATTTGAGTTGACTTGACGCACTCACTCACTTATTCATATATTCGTACTCGGTGGACAGGATGTGAAGACAAAATTGTTTAGACTTGTCGTTGTATTGTCTGGTATTAACCGATTTAGATGACATGCTTTTCAAGACAATTTTTTTTCTTTTTCTTTTCTTTTCTTTTTTTCTTCTTTTTTTAAGGAAACAGAAAAGAGAGGAGTAACATATTTATAAAATGAATTCCCACAGAGGCATCATTTGGTTGTTGTTCTAATTTTCCAATTGAAATCACAATGTCATTTTCTCTTAAAATTGAATTATCAGCCGCGTTTAATCATTTCTTCTGTTTTGCTTTCTTGGGTTTTCGAAGACTTGTCCACTTTTCAACTCAATATCGTTTATCATTTTTGTATATATATATATATATATATATCGCTTTGCGCATAAAGAGTTTTCTTGAAAAACAAAAACTTGAAAAAAAAAAAAACTCGTTTTGTGTTAACTAAAAGTGAATTTAAAAGTATTTCATCATTTTTACGGTTAAAAAGCAGAAATAAAAAATAAAACCAATAAACAAGAAAGATACCGACGCTTACAAGCGTTTTTAAGGCTGAGATACATACTACTTGGATCGATTTATATGGATTTTATTATAGAAAAAAACAACAAAAAAAAAAACAAAAAAACAAAACAAGAAAAAAAATAAATAAATAAAGAAGAAAACAAACGATAAATAGAAAATTCCACCACACTATTATATATGAATGTTTGTGTTTTTACCAAAATTGGTTCGATATTTACCCCACATACCTTGGGGGAACCCGACATCTATGGTGTGTGGCAAGAAGGGACCTAAGCCCGGCATTCCCATACCGGGCGGTAACGGCCCATGAGGCACGGAATGATGGGGATGTGGTGCTCCGTAGCCATGGGGTGGGCCTCCTAAATCTTGCGATTTTAGGAAACCGGCAGCCATTAAGGCTTCTGTTGAGTGCAGAGCCACGGTGAAGCCGAGTAGTAATTGCAACCAGATAACTGTAAAGAGATGAATAAAAAAATAAAATAGATTGGGTTTTTTTTTTTTTTTTTTTTTTTTTTTTCTTTATTACTATTATTATTATTATGATTATTATGTTTGCTATTAGTTCTTATGTGAATAATAATTAATGTGTTAAATAAAATGGCGTAAGTGTAACGGACCGGCACATATTTAGTTTACATTAAAATATTCACAACAATAAAAAATAATAAATTTCAATTTGAGACAGATGCGTTATTAATTTATATGTGCATGCGAGCGTATAATTGGAGGTCGAGTATGTGTTTTGTTTGGGTTTGCACGGCTTGGGCCGCCTCTTTCGCAACTCGCTCTCGCTCTCTGTATATTAATTGCATATGCAAGCAGCAAGGCAAACAGGCAGGCAGGCAGGCAGGCAGGCAGGCAGGCAGGCAGGCAGGCAAACAGGCAAACAGGCAGGCAGGCAATGAGGCAGTCAGGCAGTCAGTCAGTTGCGAAAATGAGATGACAAAACACTACAGAAAATCGGGTGAGTTTGGATTTTTTTTGTTTTTTTTTTTTTTTTACAGAAGAGAGGAATGAAAAACAATGCATACGCACGGTCACAGACGGGTAGGCACGTACTTACGCACATAGATAATTTTTGGTTTTTTTTTTTTTTTTTTGTATTTTCGTACGATCCCTTGGGTCTCTTATCTTAGGCACTTTGGCGGTGGTTATGTATGCGGTAGACCAATGATGATTGCGATGACGATGAACACTAAATGATGAGTGTTTAAGTAATGTCTGCGGCACAGCGTTAAATGACAAATAACCCAAAGGCATGTACCTGGAAATGTGCGTACATATGTACATACATATATACATAGATATTTTGCGTACGTTTTGATATACACACTCTAATGCACCGAGCCGAAAATGTTAATCCTTGTGCAGGATCTTTTTTTTGCAATTTCTTTCTATTTTTTTTTTTTTTTTTGGATTTTGTTACCTTGTAGAAAATTATAATTTTCTTCCTTTTGTGTGTGTGTGTGTGTGTGTGTGTGTGTGTGTGT